GGGGGGAGAGGGGCAAGGGATTCTCTGCCACCTGGAACAGGGAAGGTGACTGAGAAACCAGCCAGCCATAGAGCAGCAATGGGCACTGGGAGAGAAGCGGGGCAGCGGTGGCGGGGATCTGAGTGGGGAGGGTGGGGGCAGTGGGAGGGGACAAGACGCTTCAAATCCCCACTGAGTTCCCGTGTTTAAAGAGCAAGTACTGTTTATTTGGAAAGACACGCATTCTCTCTCTCTCCACGGGAAGAAACCTGTTTTTAAGTGAATTAAAATGGAAGTCCATTATGACTTCAATCCCTTTAAACTTTACACATAAAATAGGATCCCTTTTTTTTTTTTTTACTTTTCTGGTAGGACACCCACAGAGGAGGGTGTGGTGACAGCGAAAGAGAATCTGTGATTGTCTCTGGGCAGTGAGTGGGCTGCTCCCACCTCTGTCCGTGGGGACAGGGGCAAACAGGAGGCTCCGCTGAGTGTGTGTGTTGGGGGCGGCTGTCCATTTCTGCTGCTACCCATTCGGACGCCACGGTTCAAACAAATCCTTCTGAAAGAATTGGCAATTTTGTGGAAGGTGTTAATCTTGGTCACTCACAGAACTAAGACTCTGCATAGTAACTAGGTGTTCCCAAAGTGAGTTCTAGGATGAGTTTAATTTTACTTAAAAAACAAAAAAGGTAAATGCAACGGAGTGGGGAAAGGCTTTGTCTGACGCAGTAGGAGCTCAATGGATGATTGTAAAAAAAAAAAATAGTAAAATCCACTAGCGATTTGGGGCAGGGCGTCAGTGGGAGAAGGGGTTCAGTTCTATCCCAATATTTTAAATTCATTCATTCTTAGCTTACTGACACATCCCACTAAAGTTGTGAGGTGTCATCACTCCCACTTTGCAGATGAGAAAACAGGCACAGAGAGGTTAAGCGGCATTCCCGGGGGACCACACACCTTGTAAATGGCCGAGTTGGCGTTCCACTGGCCCAGATTTCAGCTCACGCCCTTCCGCTTGGCTTTTGTGCCCCTCTTATGGTAGATCTGTGTCCCAGCGAGGGTGAGAGCGACGCCGAGGCCGACAGCAAAGAGGAGCATGGCCCCGAGGCCTGCGACGCGGCCAAGATCTCCACCACCACGTCGGAGGAGCCGTGCCGCGACAAGGGCAGCCCCGCGGTCAAGGCGCACCTCTTCGCCGCCGAGCCTGGCGGCCGGCCCCGGGACAGCGGGCGGCTGGACAAGGCGTCGCCCGACTCGCGCCACAGCCCGGCCACCATCTCGTCCAGCACCCGCGGCCTGGGCGCCGAGGAGCGCCGGAGCCCGGGCCGCGAGGGCGCGGCCACGTCCAAGGCCGAGGAGGGGCGCGCGCTGCCGGGCAAGGAGGCCTTCGCGCCGCTCACGGTGCAGACAGACGCGGCCGCCGCCGCCGCGCACCTGGGCCAGGGCCCCCTGCCCGGCCTCGGCTTCGCCCCCGGCCTGGCCGGCCAGCAGTTCTTCAACGGGCACCCGCTCTTCCTGCACCCCGGCCAGTTCGCCATGGGGGGCGCCTTCTCCAGCATGGCGGCGGGCATGGGGCCCCTGCTGGCCACCGTGTCCGGGGCCTCCACCGGCGTCTCGGGCCTGGATTCCACGGCCATGGCCTCCGCCGCCGCGGCGCAGGGACTGTCGGGGGCGTCGGCGGCCACCCTGCCTTTCCACCTCCAGCAGCACGTCCTGGCCTCTCAGGTAATGAGGGGTCTTCCCCCGGGCTCTCCAGACCCTCTCTCCATTCGCTCTGGCTTCCCGGCCCTGGGAATCCCAGACCCTCACCCAGTGCCCTTCGAGGAGGAGCTTTGAATAATAATAATGGTGGTAGTACTAGTAATAATTGCTAGGTCAAGGGTTACCTCATTGACTCAGCGTAACCTCACGCTCCAACCAAAAGCTTAAAAAAAAATTTCTTTTTTTTAGTTCAGGTCTGTTTTTAGTAGAGGAGCTAGGTAGTAATAGTGATAATGAAGCTATACCTAGCATTTACCTGGCACTTGGTCTATTCTGACTTCAGTGGCCCTATTGTCACCTCCACTTTATAAATGAAGTGGCGGAGGCCCAGAGATGTTGAGTAACTTAACCAAAGTCACACAGCTGGTAAGTGGTGCCGCAGAGACTCTACCCCAGGCGGTCTGACTCCAGGGCCTTTTTCAGGGTCTCTGATTTTAGCTTCAAAGTGGGAATGTCTCTTATCTCTGAACTGGCTCCTAGCCAACCAGCCACCAGGAATCAGACAAGAGGGAGACCATGGCTGGGGGAGGGGCGCCTTGGGTGGGAGTTGAGTCTTGACCCTTTCCTCCTGTGGGAAGCTTGTCCCCTGTCCCCCAAAGGGTTAACGGTTTGTGCCCGTGTGGGAAATGTCAGAGGATAGGGGCAGGCTTCGGCTGTGGCAGGCCTGGCAGCCTCTGTGTGGTTCAGACAGCTGTGCTGGGGGGCAGGGCAGCTGGGGAGAAGTCCCCAGCCGCTGGAAACGCTCTGAACCCGGCGAAAAGGTTCTGTGGGGTTTTCTGCACGCCCTTGCCTTTGTTTTGTCTGAGTACATTCGTCTCCCTTCTCTTGAGCCAAGAAGCAGGGTTGTCCTCCCCTCTGGGGGGAGGAGGGAACTGAGAACAGGGTTGGCTTCTGGCCTTTTCCCATTGCTCTCCTCTCTGTGATGCCCGCCTGGAGACCTTGTTCTAGGTGGGCAGTGGATAGGTGGGTGAGGGGCTGCCTGGGCACACAAGTATTAATGGTACGCCAAGGCAAGGGGCAGAGAGAACTAGCCCAGGCTGGGGTGCCTGCATTTTAAATTCTGCTTCTGCCACTGAGGGACTTCCTGCACCCCTGGGGCCTACCTCAGTTTCTCCACCTGTAATACCAGTGTATCAGGCTGGGTGATTTCTTTGTCTCTCTTTAGAGCCAATGCCTTTTGCACCCACAACCCCCAATTTCCTTTAGCTTAAAGGATCTTCTCTGGAGTTTTTTTTCATTTGAGAAACTCTGGAATTAGAGTGGAGGGCTGTGTTGGGGGTGGGGGAGGAAGAATGAAAGAAATGTATGTCCCATAATTTATGCCCCGTGGTGGTTTTCACTCAGCTACCTTACTTGTGGCTGGACTAGACTGCAGCCCCATTTCACAGGTGCAGCAACTGACCCCCAGTGGGAGAATTTCTAGCAGTTCTATTGGCCAGGTGCCCTGTGAAGCCCATTGCAGGCGTTAGCTCATTTAATATCCAAAGTCCCAATCAGTAAATGAACTATTTAGTATTTCCCTGGGTTTTTTTTTCCCCCCATAAGAAAGCTGAGGCATAGGGAGTCAAGTGGACCTAGAGAGGGAAGTTTGAGTGTTCCCCCGCCTCCTCCCCACACCGCAAGCGATGAATGACTTGCCAGAGGCCCCAAGGTAGAGGTGGTGGGGTTGGGGGTGGGGAGGGGGGAGATGGACGGACCAGGTTGGCTCCTCCCCATCGCGCAGCCCCTACTCGGCCCCGATTCACTGCCTGCGTTTCTCTTCCCCTCCCCTTTCCCGCAGGGCCTGGCCATGTCGCCTTTTGGAAGCCTGTTCCCTTACCCCTACACGTACATGGCCGCGGCGGCGGCGGCGTCTTCGGCCGCGGCCTCCAGCTCCGTGCACCGCCACCCCTTCCTCAACCTGAACAGCATGCGCCCGCGGCTGCGCTACAGCCCCTACTCCATCCCCATGCCGGTCCCGGACAGCGGCAGCCTGCTCACCACAGCCCTGCCGTCCATGGCGGCGGCCGCGGGGCCCCTGGACGGCAAAGCCGCCGCGCTGGCCGCCAGCCCGGCCTCGGTGGCGGTGGACTCAGGCTCGGAACTCAACAGCCGCTCCTCCACGCTCTCCTCCAGCTCTGTGTCCTTGTCGCCCAAACTCTGCCCCGAGAAGGAGGCGGCCACCAGCGAACTGCAGAGCATCCAGCGGTTGGTCAGCGGCCTGGAAGCCAAGCCGGACAGGTCCCGCAGCGGGTCCCCATAAACCCCTCCCTAGAAAAAAATCTCTTCATTCCAGTCCAGTCCAGTCTGCAGTGCACTTTGTTGGATGTAAAATAAACCACGGGCGTGCAGTGGGGTTGGCCCTTCTTTGTGCAGTCCTGTCTGGGAAGGGGTGCCGGACTCCCTCTAGAGAATATGCTAGAAACAGGCCCTGTCTTCTTGGCGTGGTTTATATATCCGGGATCTGGCTCAGATTCTGGGGCTCAGAAATGTCTGTTGCATTGAGCTATTGGGGTGGGAGTGAAAACATTTATGGCCAGAGCACCTCCAGCCAGGCTGGTCTGGGAGCTGTGGGAAGAAAAAGGTAGCCAGGCCCACCAGGAGGGGAGGTGTGGAAAGGCTTCTCCCCCAGTGCAGATTTATATATTTTTTCCTTCACCGTGTCAAGTAGAAACAAAAACAAAATTAAAAAAAAATACTGGGGACTAATGACTACATTAACATGATTCTGTTTGTGAAGATTAAAAACTTTATAGTGACTTGCATATCAGTTCTGAATAAATTACTGAGCAGCGTTGTTTGGGGAGGGAAGTCCTTGCCATCCTTGTTTGGTCTCTATTAAGGAAATCTGTGTCTTTTTAATATTCTTGTGATGTTTTAAGAGCCGCTATAGGTCTCTTCTTGCATGTTCCACAGTAATGTATTTGTGGTTTTTATTTTGAATGCTTGCTTTTAGAGAGAACAGAACATGACCCCACACCTTTCTCCCCCCTCTTCTCTACCCTCCCGTCGGCAACCCCAAGGGGGGAGGATTTAGAGGGAAGGGGTGGGGAAAACACAAAAATGAATTTATTTTATCTAAGCTCTGTAGCAGGATTTATGTCCTTTGGCAGTTCTTTCTCTTTCCTGTATATGCAATAACAAGGTTTTAAGAAAAATAATAAAGAAGAAGCGAGACTATTAGACAAAGTATTTATGTAATTATTTGATAACCCTTGTAAATAGGTGGAATATGAATGCTTGGAAAATTAAACTTTAATTTATTGACGTTGTACATAGCTCTATGTAAATAGGGTCGCAGCTATCAGGTTTTGTGTTACTGTTTTCCTTTCATCAATTTTACTTCAAGGTCACAGGATCGCTTTTAAAAAACTAGAAAACACACTTTATGCACTAACACCAACACACTTTTCAAACGAGTTGTCTGCAAAAAAAAAAAAAAAAGTTCTTTTCTTTTTTAGTGTCCAAGAGTGGGGCAAAGTGCCATTGCCTATTTCACCCCAAACTGGGGAGGTGGTGCCACATCCCAGCTCACCTTAAATTCCTTAAAATTTAACACCCCAAGTGTGGTTTTGAGATTGCTTGGGGGGTGGGGGGGTGGGGAGTGCAGAGGCTGTGGTTTGACTTTCTAATTTTTCTTTTGTATTTGTATTTGCTAGTCTGATTTCTTCAAAACGAAGTGGAATTGACTACTGTCTTCAATATTGATGGTGTTTTGAATTGGTGCCTATAGAGATATATTCACAGTTCACAAGTCAGGTGCTGAGAGATGGTTTAAAGGCAAAAATTCATGAAGGTATATTTTGTGTTATAATTGTTGATGAGTTCTTTGGTTTTCTGTATTTCTTCCCCTCTCTTTAAAAAAACATTGAAATTTCAATAAATTTTTATTGAAATGTCTCTGGGCCTCGTGTTAAGTGCTTTCTTTAGAAAACTTTCCTGCAAGAGGAGTCTTTCTGTCCTTGCTTCCTCTAGCCCTCTTCTCTGGCCTTTAAGTAATTAAGACCGCCCCCACGGAACCCAAATGAGCTGTCACTCAAGTTACAAAGCTAAAAACAAAAGTCCCTTACTGGAGCGAAGGGAGCCGCTTCAATCTGAAATTACTTTTCCTTTAAATTAGGGAGCAAAACGAGAGACGGAAAGAGGGCTGATTAGAATTGGGTAGAATAGCAATTTCAGATACTTAAGTTTTAATGGAAAAAGAATGCTCTGGTCCCCTAAGTCCGTGGTTCCCACACGAGTCCGACCAAAAATACGTTTCGAGGACTTGCGGACGTTTTCGTTTTAGGCTCGCTCTCCCTTTTCACGGCGACATGGGAAACGCAAGGCAAAACTGTCTTCTTGCACCAGGGTGCAAAAGAAGAGGCTGGGGGGAAGGGGCAGGATCCCCTCGCCGCCAGACCCGGCTTGGCAAGGCAGCGCCCCTCCGGGTTGGGGGAGAAGCGGCCGGGCCTGAACGTCCCCCCGCGGCCCCCCGGTGTCTCCGCCTGGACCCCGCTGACCCGAGGCGCCCCAGAGCGCGTGCGGAGCGCGGCCAGCTCCGCGCGGACTTAACTGTGTCGCACGCGGGAGGAGGCGGGTTTTCCCCCCCCGCCAGGGAAAGGTAATTCCAGGGCGCGTCGCTGACCCCCTCCCAGGGAAAAGTCCCCCAGGAGGCTGACACCCTCCTCCAGCCCTCCCCTCCAGCCAGCCTCCAGGCTGTTCGGGGAGTTGCCTTTTGAAGCTTAATTTATTATTGAAACATTCAATAAAAAAAAGAGTGAGGCCGTGATCGTCTTTTGGTCTCCCAGCTGTCCCCACCCCCAGCGGAGGTGTATTTGTGAGGGGGGGAGGGGGCAAGGGAAGGTTCTCGAGGCCTTTTCTTGCCCTGGGGGCCGTGACGTGAGGACCCAGCCGGAGCCTGCCTGGCGGCTGCCTCCCTCCTCCCCTCCCTGGAGCCCGCCAGCCCGGCCCCAAGTCCCTGTCACCTTCGGGCCTCTTGAATGGCCGGCGAGGAGGATCCCCCTCTCCCCTCCCTCATCCTGGACTTGCAAGGGGATCGAGGTCGAGGTCGGGACCTTTTGGAGAGGGGGGCCGAGCCCCTTGCATCTGCAGCCAGGCACGTGGGGAGCCCCACACCCTCTCGAGGGCTGTCTCCCCGGGTGAGAGGGCAAACAAGGGTCGGGGGGAGATGGGGCTTGTAGGGCCCGGGGATCTTTGGGGCCCTAGCTTCCCCGAGGGCCAGGAGAATTTCAGGGCACGCTACTGCGTTGGGCTGTGGGCCCAGGGGTCGCGCCCGGACCCTGCGCCCCTGGAGGGTGGCCGTGGGCACGGTGTGCCCAGCGCGCTGTCCCTCTTGAGTCGGGGAGCAAAGAGCCTCGGCCTGGGAGAGGGAAGGAAGGCTTTTCTCTCCCAGCCCACATCTGCTCCCCCCCCCCCAAATTCTCGGACAGTGCTCAGACAAGGGGCCAGTCTCTCCTCCGGCCCCCCCCCCTTTAATCTCCTGTGTATCTTATTTGTATGTATTGATGTTAATGAGTAACTCTGGTGGCGCTGATGGACGGGGGGTGAACCGCTCACAATCTCTCTGGATTTCGTTGCCTATTACTCACCTGGCGCCGGTCGCAATCTCGCCGCGGGCTTTATGGTGGCGGCTGCCGCCGCGGAGGCCACTCGGGGCAGGCGCCTTCGGCTTTTTTCCGGGCTTCGAGTGCCACCTATCTGTCTGGCCCACGAATGCGCCCAGGTCGCCGCCGCTGGCTTGGCATTCCTGCGCCTCCCGGGTTCCGGAACTTTGGCGTTTCACCTTTGCCCCTGCTCATCCTCCCCACCCCAGCCGGCGCTCCCCTCCTTCTCGGACCACCCCCCCCACCCCCGCCACTCTCCACCTCCCAAGCATCGGAAGAAACAGTGGTCTCTTTCCTGGATATCACTTTCACTCCTCTTTGGGCCCCAGATGAGAAAAACAGTCCTTCCCGTCTTTGGGTTTCCAAAGAGAGTAAGGAAATTCCGGAGGGGACCCTCTCATCATTTTCTGGCCAAGCACCCTGCTGCTTGGCTTAGAAATCCCCAGCAGTCCCCCAACCCCCTCACCCCCGACCCAGCCAGGCAGGAGATAACCTGTGTGTTCTTGGTGGGCAGATGGAGGAAGGATTCCCTCCTCCCCCAAATTACAGAATTCACATTCTACCCTGGATGCGACTTCCCTTTGCCTGGGTGCGCTCTCTGTTTTTCTTTAGAACTCTGGAACGTTTCGGTTTTTACTCTGGCCGCGTCTACAGGGACAAAGGCCGCCGCTCGAGGGAGCAGCAGTCCGTAGGGGCCCTGGCGAGGGGCAACTGCGGCAGCCTGCAGGGCCGAGCGAATTCGTGATTTGTAGATTTAAGGTGACAAATGCGGGTGCCGGCGGGAGCCCTGCGGCCCCCGCCCCTAGGGGAGGTCGGCTCCAAGCCTGGCTGCGCCCGGGCGTCTGAGGCCGGCGGAGGGGCGGGGGTGGGGTCGCCTTTTGCTGTGCTTTGAGCCGCGGGTAAAGGCGTCTGGGTTCCTGCTGACCTCCCGGCGCTAATTGCAGGGGCCGAAGGGCGCGCTCCGGCAGAGGCAGGGGTCACGACCCTGTGCGCTCCCTCCTCCCGGGTCGGCAAGCCCGTAGGAGCGGGGTGTGTGCACGCGGGCGTGCGTCCGTGTGTGCGTGTGTGTATGCGTGTGTTTGTGTGTGTGCGCGCGCGCACGGCCTCCCCCTGGGTCCGCGCGGACCCGGAACCCACTCTTTCTTTGTGGGGAAAGTTCCCGGCGCGTAGGCCCTCAAAAAAAAAAAAAAAAATTCCTTCCAAGAAGGAAAACCCTTGTTCTGACCTTTCCCCTAAGCCAGCAGACAGGGAGCCGCCTTCGGGCGCTGCAAGCGGCTTGACACGCTTGGCGTCCGCGCGCTTTCTGCCTCGCTGGTTTCCAAATTCGACCTCGCGGCAACCAGCCAAGCGAGAGGCTGCTGGGTGTGGGTGCCAGGCCGCGTCGTGGGCTCTAATATACAGAGCGGTAGATGTGCGTACCCAAGGGTAGCTCTTTGGGTGCTGGCGCTCCGGGGCGGAGGACCTGCAGGTGTCACAAGGAGATGCGTGTGTGTGCGTGTACTTGTGCGTGCTCCATCTGCAGACGTCTCTTCCAATTTAGATTTCGAAGTGCATGCGCCAGACAGTTCCGGATGTAGATGCTTTTGGTTGTTTTACAATCAAGATGCGTATAATCAAGATGTATATGTTGCAGATGTCGGCGTTCAAAGTACACGTAACAACAATAATAAAAATAGCTGGCATAGAAGAGGCACGTGCACGTGCCAGGCGCTCGGTTAAGCACCCCACAAAAGTCACCTCTTTTCATGCTCACAGTTCACCCGACAAGGTGGGTATGACTTTTATCCCTGTTTTACAGAGGGAGGAAACTGAGGCACAGAATCGTTAAGGCACTTACCCGAGATCAGCCAGGAAACCCGGAGCCAGAATTCCAGTCGAAGTGGACTCCAGAAGCCACTTTCGCCATACCTAATTCAGGTGGAGGTGTACATACCTGTCATGCAGATGTCCTGGATGTAGAGGAATCTATGGGCGTGTCGCGGGTTTTCGTATGGGTCTCAGGCGCCCTTCGTATGGGAACGCTTGAATTTCTCCGGTCGTCGCTCATGCGGTGGTGGGAGAGTCCAGCTCCTGTTTTGGCGTTCCATTCCCCGGCCCTTTCTCCCCCGAAGGACCCGTGGGGGCGAAGACCCGAGGCTTGGGGCCTTTGTTCGCAGGCAGATAAAGGGAGAGGTGGAGTGGGGACAATACCCCTATTTAAAAGCGCTGGAGCAGATTCCCGTGTTCTCCTTCGGGATCTGAGTCGGGAGGGAGCGGGAATGACAACGGTGCTGGCGTGTGCCAGGGTGGGCAGGGCGACCCCGCTAACTCCACAGGGTCTCTTTCCCGCGGGGTGGGAGAGCGGGACCCAGGCTTCTCCCCCGCCCACCCACGGGCCCCGGGTCCTCCCCCACGTCCCTCCGCTTGCTGTGTTCCATCTGTTCAGGCGCAAACGCCAGGGACGGCAGTGGGGACTCTGCCCGCGCAAGGACCATTTATTCTTCCCCGCTTCGACCCTGCCCAGCTTCCGGGACCCTAAGCAAATTTAGTTTTTCCTGCCCTCTTACCCTCAACTCTCTGGTCTCAGCTA